CCAAAGGACGGTTAAGCAGCTCCATAAAATTGGCCCCTTGTACTACTGTACAATGTACATGTACGTCGTTTTCTGCCCTACTTTTTCTTGCTTATGTTCACGCACTGCTAACCCGGCCTTCCCCCATGTACATGTAATATTGCATATTATGGGTACATCTACAGTAGCTCATCCTTGGCTAGAAACTTCATACCCAGCTCATCTCCAGGCATCTCGCCTAACCCAACCCCTACAACCCCGACCCAACCCTAGCCCAGATCAGCCTCGCCCAACATGCTCAATACGTGTACATCCACACATTTTTATAACCCATACCAACTCCCACCTACATGCAGGAACCTGCATTTTGTACATAACCGTGCCACCCAACCCAAGTCCAGATCAGCTTACCCGAAGCCACTGTTACCACTGGAACAAATCCAACCCCCACTGATTGACTTCATTTTGTCACCCAACACCACCCAAACCCATATCAGCCTTTTTGATACCCTCCAATACTACTAAACCAAATCTAGCCCCCCAAACAACTGCATTTTGTAACCCAACACCACCCAAACCAAACCCAGATCAGCCTTACTGATACCCACCAATACTACTAAACCAAATCCAGCCCCTCCCCCAAACAACTGCATTTTGTAACCCAACACCACCCAAACCAAACCCAAATCAACCTTACTGATACCCACCAATACTACTAAACCAAATCCAGCCCCTCCCCCAAACAACTGCATTTTGTAACCCAACACCCCCCAACCCAAACCCAGATCAGCCTTATTGATACCCTCCAATACTACTAAACCAAATCCATCCCCCCAAACAACTGCATTTTGTAACCCAACACCACCCAACCCTAACCCAGATCAGTCTTTCCAAATCCATCCAAACCATTGAGTCTATTTACTTTTAAACAAGTACAATTTGTAACCCCTCTACCCACCAGGCTCTTTCTAGCCAAACTGACCGCATATCTCTGAAGTATACATGTAGATGTTTCAAGTTTTCCAGCTCTTTATTTCACCTGCAGTGTTGGGGTTGAATAAAGTTCCTGTGTGGGGAACAGTCATCATCAGTCTGGGCGTTGGTCTCATCACTGGTTTGACTGTGTGGTTCCTGGTTGTCCCTCGACTGCGGAGGAAGTTAAAAGGTTGGTGCAGAGAAAGAGCCTCTGTGTGAAATATCCAAATGACATTCAGAATGATTCTTTGAAAAAGAAAATTCAAGAAAGAAACAACTGTCACATTAACCACTCTGCTTCAAAGGACGTGCTGGCACATAAGGACTCTTTTTGCCTGAAACGCGGAGGATGTTTAAACACATACCGGCAAATTCTCCATGTACTGCAGGGTGATGTCTGTGTTATCCTTGTCCCCATGCTTGAGTAATTGCCATAGTCTTTGCACTAAACAGCTCAGTGATTGAGGTTGACTCAAGCGCGTCAAACTCTGATGTGTCCATGTGCCTATGCTGGGTGTTGTCGCAAATATCGCTCTGCAACATTGCCTCAGAGTTTCACAAGATATAAAATGTCTCACGAATCTTGACCACCTGGGGTTGTCATTTCTGAAGCCCAGTTTTGTGAAAGACTATGCTCTCTGATACCTTGTAGTTTTAAGAACTTGATATTTTCAGCTAAGATTAATTCTGTCCCCGGGAGGTGTTCACTGTGGAATAATTCCATCCATAAGCAATTTAATTCTAACCTGCAGGGTGCCCAAAGAACTTTTTTCAAAATTACAAGACTGAGAAGTTTTAGGATGAACAAATGGCATTTTGTTGAAACTGTGATTGTGAGTGAATGAGAGAAATCTCCATTAATTTAATCCCTGACCAGAAGACAAATTCTGATGCTCCTTCCGACATGCTCTAGCAGTGATTTGCAATTGGGTACACGATTGTCCATTTTTGATAGTAACCCCTGTTCCCTGATGAGTAGAACAGCATTGAAGTGCCAGAGGCTAGGGCAAGGCTCAGGAATCGAAGAGCTCAGAGATATTCCATTGGCTGCACAGCTCATAGACGGCTTGGCATAAAGTCCATTTCTCAGAAATCTGTGGTCTTCTTTTCCTAAACCTGCCAGAGGGTGACAAGAACTTCTCTGCGCTGCCAACTGTTGGCGAGGATGATGGGAAAATCGAGCCGGCTGATGTAACCATCGACATGAGAGAGAGCAACATCGATAAAGGTAATAAATCTCCGAGAGAGGTTGTCATTTCGCAAACGATGCAGAGCCAGGTCGTCGGGCTCTTTCTTTTGCAGGCGGCACCAAAGCTTATTAGGGCAGGTATCTAGTCAGGCTGCGACTGAAGAGTCCTGTGGCTATGGCTTTGGCTTACGAGAAAAAGCCTGTCTGATGTGAGAACCACAGGCCTTAAGCAGCTGCAGTCACGTCCCACAGACGTGCGTGCTGCTTCTGGCTCCAGGAAGTTCGTTTGGGCAAGTCTCAGCGGAAGAAGTCGCGGCCACTGTAGGAGTCAAGCAGGAACTGCAAGAGTTTTCACTAGGAGGTTTTGCTAATATTTGGAAGCCAAAGTCCCAAGATGTACCATGCATAGTCCTTGTTTAACACAGGGACAGAAGCCATAAGTGGTTTTACATTTTAGTCTCGAGCACTCCACAACGCATTCTGACAATTATTTAAAACTTGTCGTGGGGCGATGGGACACTGGCAAACATTTCTCATTGTAGAAATGCCTTTAATGCCACTTTTTCCCTTTATTGCATGTTATGCCTCACGTTCTTTGAAAAGGGATCGTCATCTCTGACTTCATGTCTTCATTTCCCCCTTGTCATTTACTCACACAAGAAAAATCCCTGGATGAATCTGTCACCTCGGAGAAGAGGGATATTGCTGAACTCGACCAGAAGCTGCGAGTCCAGGATATTGAGAAGACTGCTGCTGAGACCAGGGAGAAAGAACCCATGATGATTATGAGTAAGTCTCACTGTGTGTTGGTTTTTTACTTTCTGATGAAGCTCATCCCTATACTGAGACCAGTACTTCATAGGCAGAAAAACCGGCAGACCAAAATCAGGCTGTCTTTGATCACCTCACACCTGAAAACTGTGAGCTAGGTCCGCATTTCGAAAGGTGGTGTCATTGGAGAGCAAACCACGTATGCAAGATGGTGTATGGCCGCTCTGATAGGCGAGACCTTGCTCGTGTGTGTAGTTGCACCCGGGCAGCCCAAGGTAACTCTTTAAATTAGGTGAACCATATGGACTAGGGCTGAGTCAATTCGAATGATTCACTATTCACATATTCGACCTTCAATTTGATCGAATATCCGAATGTTCGGTCGTACCACTGCCAGATTGTTGATGAACAAACCATGTACAAAATCAGTTGCAATAACACACACAGTTGTACATTGTAATCAATATAATCGCTTCCCACATCTAGGAGTATCTGCGGCCATGATTTAGCAAGATTTAAGAGATAAACAATACTTCTTGCCCTGTTGAAAATTTCTATCCCTTTAAATTGTGTAATGAATTGATTACTTTTTAAATTGCTGTATGATTTCTGACGCTTTTCATTTGAATCTGCTGGAAACAAGCCTCCATAGTGCAGTTTTCTCATTTAACCCCTTCGCTCCGGGAGACAGCAAGAGCCGTGGCTTTGTGTGAGGATTAGTGCATACCACACATACAGTCTATTCACCATGCAGCTGCTGGTTCAATGGGGCCTGCTGCTGGACAAAGCCCTCCATTTAGGGCATACCACAGCCCAGCAGTCACCGTCAACAGAATTACTGGCGTGAAGGGGTTAAAACAAAAGACATTTTTCCCTTTTAATGAATTTTGCTTTCAAATATTCAAATTCAAAAAATAATTTTTGAATATTCAACAATCGATCAAATATTCAGTAATTCAGATATTTTGCACAGCCCTAATATGGATCATTTGACCTTTGGCCTGTTTGTTTCACATGGATTTGGATCTCAATTAATGATCATCACGCTGGTTGGCACCATCCATTGGGCCAGTTTTGTATCCAAGTAACCACCGACGGATTCCTGATCATGATTCAGATCTGTATGAAACAAACACGTTCTTCAGTGTCTCCCTGATTGCAAAGAAGTGGTCAAGATTTTGCACCTTTTAGTGAAAGCCAATTGATTTCACTGTGAAGAGCAGACTTGTTCTTGTCCAATGGTTACCAACTTTGTCATTCAGTAGCCTGGAGACATGTACATGTATCCGCATGTGTGAAGGAAAATTTGCATGTGTTAATTTTCATTAGAATAATAGAGTGGTTTTTATTTTGCTACTGTGCGTGCATTCTCATGCACTCAGTGTTGTAAGGAGTCTCTGTGTGACTTGAGTTAATTTCTCTCGAAGTGACTTGAGTTGAGTGGAACCTTCTGATAGGAGACTCGGCTTGACTCATTGCTCACAGTAAATTGAGTCAAGGTGAGTCAGTTATCTGTTGGGGCTCAAGCTTAGTTGCAAAAAATAGTGACTCAAGTTGAATCTGATTTCAAACATTGACTCGAGACATTACAACTCCGCCGACCCCTAAAACAAGCTGCATAGTGTTTTTATTTTGTACAAATTGCACCATGTACTTGTACTTGTAGGGGGTGTTCAAGCACTCTGAAGAATCATTCTGGAATCTCTTTCCTCATCTTATCCGTGAAAGCAGACAAGCTGGACGTCTCCTGCGATACTGCCGATACCTCCGTCCAGTCCACGTCGGACCTGAACATCTTCCAGCGCCTCCTGATGCGCGCAGGCTGGCGCAGGATGGAGAGCGGCCACACCACGCCCAGCAGCGCCACGCCCGGCAGTGCCACGCCGGACTCGCTGCGCTCCTCCGACAGCGCCGGCACCCCGCGGAGGAACCTGGAAGCTTGGCAGAGTGTGGTGGACCCGCCCGAGGTGGCCAAGCTGTGCGGGCCTCTGCAGATTCTGTCTGCCGTCTTCGCCTCGTTTGCCCACGGTGGAAATGATGTGTGGTGAGCATTGATATCAGTCCCAATTGTCCATGCTAGCATGCATGTCAGTTGTTTGTTCAACTTAAAGTTGCCTCTTTTCGATAAGTTTCACTGAACCGTCGTGAGTAGGCTCAAATCTAAAGATGTACAATGCTTTGTGTGGAAAAAGTCAATATTGTGTAATTCTGGTATGTAACCAGAGGTGATATTTGTCAGGATTTTTTCATACGGATTTTCCTGATTTCAGGTTTTCTTTCAAGTTTCCCATCGTACTCTTTTTACGTATAAGAGTTTATATAGAACATAAGAAATGGGTATTTGAAGGGTTGCCTTTAGGTAAACGCAACTTTATACGTGTACCGTAGACCCCACACTGCCCCGGGGCCCTGAAAACATGTGGCAGTTATTTCGAGGATTTTTAGTTTTCCTCCAATCTCGCCCCTGGTAACGATTTCGTTATTTATCCAAAATCATCATCCATCCTTGTCTTCGTTCAGATCATCATCCCAGCTTTCACAAATTTTGCAAGTACCGTTTTTTGTCTCACCGTGAAATGACGCCATCGTTCAGAAATTACGCGTAAATCTCGCTCACAGGCCATCAGAAAATTTGCAAAGCACGTTGGAAGGTAGAGCATGCATTAGTTTCTGATGTTCTGTTTTTAAACTTGGGTGATCGTTCGGGCTATTGGTGCATTTTGCAATCTGTCATCTTGCAGTAATGCTGTCGGCCCCCTGGTAGCGCTGTGGTCCATCTACCAAACTGGCGGAGTGGGCCAGAAGCAGAGCACGCCAGTGTGGATCCTGTTCTACGGCGGGCTGGGCATCACGGTCGGGCTGTGGGTGCTGGGACGCCGCGTCATCGAGACAGTTGGCAACAGGTTGACCCCCATCACTCCTTCAAGGTGGGTTCCTTAGGCATCCTGTTGAAAACCTAGGCTAGACACTCTCCCACTTCCTTGCTTGCAAGCAAAGGTGAGGCCCGCTTTGCGTGTGATTCACATTCTCCAGGAGGGTGTCTGCGTGGACCCAACAAACTAGACGTGGCGTGGACCTGTACAGTTAGAGTCGTTTTACGTTCACTTTGACTGGAGGTGTTTGGTAACATTTCCCAGACAGATTTGTGGTAACAGTGAGCCAGTTTAACATTCCAAAATGGCCCAATTGAAACATGTCAGAGGTCATCTGGGAACAACGGTACACTTGCGCGAGGTCTGCCTCATCAGCTTGGCTACACACCAACTCGCGTATGGTCTGTTATCAAATGACTTTCTCTTTTTTGACAAATGGGCCCAGCTGATCAGCCAGCTCAACCACTTCATTTACTCGTACACGAGCCTGAAAATAAAGTATTGAATTGCAAAACTGTAGATGCACTTTGTGGTCAGCTACAGATGAGGAACGGTTACTAGGAATAAAGCCTTAAAATTTGTAACTGAACACTGACAGTCCAAACGTATGAAACTTTGACCACAAGTGTCTATTATTGGAGTCTTTGCACAGAAGTGGTTCCTCTCTACTTTGCATAGACCTGTCCGGTCTAGGTTTTATTCATTTCTGTGGCAGTTTCTCTATGGAAACGAGCCGCTGCACTGATGACATTACCTCTGTTTATGTGCTTATGTTCTTTATGAGAGCCCTGAGAGCATGATAGATTCTGAGCTTCAACGGAAAAGTGTTCGCTTAATCAAAACGTGTCGACCTCAGTACACGGGTCTGTTAAACTGTTGAGATTTGCATTAACATAGCCCCCACGCTGAACAAACATCAGAGCCTCTCCCAGACTGTCCATGCAGTTGCTTGCACCTCAAAAGGTTCTTTCATTCTTTTGCCTTTAACTGATTTTCCTGGCAAGCCATACACAGTGCCTTCGATTTGCCTTTATTGAGTTGATCTGTTTGGTGTGTAACGCACACATATCGACATCAGACTTTGGGCCCATTTTGCACTGTGTGATGATTTTTGCAACCACAGTGGTGGAAATACGCTTCTGAAAAGTGGCTTTTGAAGAAGTGCTCATGCACCGCATGTTCCTCCTTCTCCAATCTTCTGCCTCTTCTGTTTAGCTCCATATGCAAGTCGCAAGTTGCATTTTGCTGGTAACCAAGTAGATTTGTTTGTTCACTGTTCTCCAGTCCCTCTTGCTTCTCAGTTTTTTTCTCCGCACAACTTAACTTTCCGAAGCCTGCGTACAAGTTTCCTTTTGCCACCGTCATGCTAACCTTGTCGATATTTCTTCTCCCCCCCTCCCGTTTGCCCGCCTGCAGCGGTTTCACCATGGAGCTGGGCGCGGCCACCACCGTGCTGGCTGCCTCCAAGCTGGGCATCCCCATCAGTACCACCCACTGCAAGGTGGGCTCGGTCTTCATGCTGGGCCTGGTGCGCTCCCGCGCCTCGCTGGAGTGGAAGGTCTTCCGCAACATCATCCTGGCCTGGGTTGTCACGCTGCCCATCACCGGCGGCATCAGCGCAATAATCATGTTGATACTGCAGAACGTTGTATGATGAAGGCCCTTTTTCTTTTAACTTCAAATTGGTCCTGCAGATTTCTGTTTTTTTATTTTCTAAAGTTTCTTGAAATGGAGAACGTACCTGTAAGTACTGTATTATTTCAATGAAATATTTGTACATTATGTGATATTGCTATTATTTGCCGTGTGCGCAACCCGTTGGGGCGGTATTCACAAGTCTAAACAATGTCTACCTCGGGGTGACAACAGACTGGTTATTGTAACCCTTGGCTAGTCCATAACACCAATAAACTAAGGTGGAAGTCAAGCTTGAGTTATGTGTGACCGCAGAACCTTGCAATCCTTACTTTGTATTCTATAGTCTACCCGTAGTTATTGGAAGTCTGTGATTGGGTCAGCCGTGCTGGCTCTGAGTAGACAAATGCATGCCGACCAGGCCAACTGCAGCTGACCGGACGATATCGCCACCGATTCCACGAACTGACACTCAGTGGCAAGTGGTTGCCAGGTTGTGAAAAATGCATTATCTTCGACTTCGGTTTGACGAACAGGCGCGCATCGGGCACCGATGTGAAATAGACTGACATTTGTTTTCATGAACTGACACTTTTGTTTTCACTATTTGCTTTGGCAAAACAGGACAGAGAAAGGTGCTTTGAAAGGTTCGACATGAATTTCATCCATCCGTAGACTTGATGTCTCACACAAAATTTTAGTTCAGTCGTCTTGATTGGTGGAATTAAGATCAATTTCATTTTGTGAAGACAAAAATGCACGGAGTACCAGCTAAAAGCGCCGCACTGTACTGGTTGTCAGTACATGGAAAAAAAATAAATTGATTCTCTAAAATGCGCGGAAATGAGCACACTGAGCACGACTGACTGTCAGTTCCTGGTATCGGTGAAGATATAAGGTGCTTTGCCTAGCAGCCGTTTCTTTACAGGCTGTCCTAAAAAAACAAAGGAAACCTTGATTTTGGGATGAACTCGGGAACCGATGAAGGTTTCTAAGTGTTTATACTTTGAAAGTTCCTCTTTCGTTTGATACCAGCAAAATGGCATTTGGCTCAGGTGTGACTGATCAGAAACAATTGGCCAAGTCAAAGACCTTCCCTTGAATTAGCGTTAGAGTGTGCAACACAGCCGACCCATCCCGTGCTCAAAGCAAGTTTGGGCACCACTAACTCGGCCTTTCTGTGATCAGCCGTGGCGACTGCAGCATCATTTTTCTGGTTTCGAATTGGAAGAGGGCCAAGGACCTTTCCAACAAATTGTAAACGTTTGGGAAATGTTCATTAGGTACTGAACAGTTCACCTGGAAATCTCGCCAGGTTTCCTTTTTTTCCCCCAGGACACCCTGGAAATGGGGTACAAAGTCCTAATGAAACTATAAAACTTGCACCGGTGCTTAACTTGACATGGAACGATTGACAGTCCTCGTAGCGGTGTAGAATGTGTTTAGTACACCGAGGTGTTCGATATCAGTGCACATGTACACGTATTCTGCATTTATAGTTATGTCCATAGAATGCAAACAAGGGGTATGTACATGCAGCGCCGAAGTCACGAAACAAACTGAGACTTGGTCCAGATGACATGGCTACGGCTGGAAATAACACATGGGCCTGTGGACTTACCAGCCGCAGCCAAGTACATGTATTCACTCAGTCAGATACAGTTCAATGATGTACATACATTGTACATGTACATGCACCATGCTTGCATTTTGTGCGCCTTGAATGAACACACCTTGAAATGCAATTGTTCATCTTGAAAGTACTCTTCAATTGTTTGACCGTCTTACCTACGATGTAGTGTACACACCTGCTTTGGAATAAAACTGGTAGTTTTCTCCACCTTTCTGGGAATAATGGGTCAACACGTATTGCACTTTATTGATAAAATAATCCTTCACAACTCTTCAGCCCAAAGACCGAGTTGCATTTTGGTGAAAGAAAATAAATGGGGATATGAGAAATCATTGCAAGCATTATATATATGCTTTGGGTTAAAAGGATACAAAATAAAAAAAAAAAAAAACTTTAAATTTAAAGTAAAAAAAAAAAATTGCATCTGAGGATGCAACTGAGTTGCGAACAATAAATTGGCCCACCTTTTATTACTGAACTAGACTATTGCTCAGGAGCAATATCGAACTGCATATCAAATCCCTGTCAATTTGATCGGATTCAGGTATAACTTGCAGGCTTATTGGAACCAGGAGTTTGCTTACTGTCTACAGAATAAGTCATAGTGGTAAGTCCTCCCAAAGCAAAGGTGCCAAAACATGTAAATAGGTTGTTCTGGGCGTGTTCCTTCCCCAACATTTTCCCTCAAGATTACAAGATGCACGCCAAGGGAAGGTTTTATACTGCCTGTTCGCTTGTCTTCAACTGAAACCTGAGGTCATCGCAAATTTTGTGGCAGTCGTTTTTGAGGGGGAGGGGTGTAGTGTATCTGGTTTACTCTTGAAAATTGATTTTTAAGAACTGATTGACCCCTTGTGGTGAGTGTCAGTTCATGTAAAATACCAATTTCTAAAAGCTACCCATGAAAGTCAACATTGTTGTGTTCATACGTGAGCAGCAAAAATTGTCATTGGAAAAAGTGGTTCAGAGAAGATCAAAGTAATAAAAAAGACTTCCTTGTGGATGTTTTGGGCTTCGTACTATAGAAATTGAAAAACGAAATTAGAAAGAACTAAACAAAAACCAAATGAAAATGGTTATTACCATTTTTCTGTTGACCGTTACCCATATGTCCACATCATTGTGTACATACGTGAGCAGAAATATACTAGAAAAAGAAGGGATTTGGAGAAAATCGAAGTGACGAAATGTCTTCCCTGTGGATATTTGGGCTTAGCACTACATGTATATAAAAAGATCAAAACCCAATTAAAAAACAAACCACCAAGAAAACCAAAAACAAACAATGGAAAATTGTCATTTCGGCTATCCTGGGTTTCATTAAAAACAGAAGGCTACGGTATAAATTGTTTTGAAAATGTTGCAAAGAAGTATTGATTGCTAATGGTGGCAAATTTGTTACTTTTGATAACAAAGTAAAAGTTACAGTTATTTGTTACAGCACACCAGGGAAGAATTTTCTGGCTCTAGTGTTCCCAGTATTCTGTTGTTGCAGTTTATAACAGGCAAGTTGGTGCCCAAACTGTGGTCAGACCTTTGGTCATTTGCTCCGCCATGACATCTGAAAACTCATGAAACACGGCTGTTGGTATCCATCGGTGCAACTCTTGCTGTGTTAAGGTATCAAACGGTCGAAAAGACTTGTCGAACATCGATCGATGCATGTGTACGCATGTAGTATTATACACACTGCAACTTACCCTGACAATTTCTGCAACAAAACCAAGTTCAGCACAGAATTCTAAACTAGTTGGACATTAAATATTATATTGGACACAAGTTTATTCTTCCTGACCGGTAAAGTGGGAAAGAACAAATTTTCTGTCACTGTAAGCAGAACATCCCCTCGTAAATACACAGGTAGCCGAGACACTAAATTCGAAAAAACTCGAAATTCTTCCTAATCAGTGAAGTGTGCTGAACAAACCAAAGAACAAATTCTATGTTGCCAGGAGCAGGAAATCCTTGCGTGGAGTGAAGTATAGCGGTGAACCCTCGAGTGGTGTTTTAATTAACTTGTAGATACAATGTATCGGGTACACCTAGTTTTAGTTGGGTTTTGTGGGAGAGGGGCGGAGTATGATGGTCACAGGAGGGGAGCACCTCGTGCTCGGGCTTGTGTCTCCCGTACAGGGTGCTGGGATGGGCTTATCGGTTTTCTCACAAAGGGGGCGAAAAATTACAGTTGGTTAACTGTAATAAATGTATCTACATCTGTGTGGTGCACAGTAAGCTGTCCTGTTCCTTGCACGCTTGGAAATGTTGGCCTTTAATCAGACGTGACCCACAATTATTTGCAAAACCAGGTTGAAGTGGATTAATGTTTTATGATTCTGAGTATGATCGAAAGTCTTAATTCGGTCTGCAAAAAGCTTTGACAGTGACAGTCGTGGAACTTCGTAAACACAGATAGTGGAAGTTCCACTACTTCAAGGTTATGACGTTCCACTACTGCAAGGTTATGACGTTACCTACTTCAGCCTGGTTTGGGGTCACCTCTACTCAGTGAGGACTTGTTTGAATTATTGGCAGCGTGCTATACAAGACAAATAATTGAAATCTCATTCCAGTACCTCGTCGGGGGCCTCTGAGCCGTTTGGCGCGATCAGACCCTCCGACTGTTGACTGTCTTGTGTTTATGTAAAATTAGTTTTTATGTACATTGACAGACCGAGTCATTTCTGATAAATTGCCCTAATTTATTGTAGAGTTTCATGCTGTTTTCAATATGAGGTGTGTTAATAACAGATTTGCGACACCTTGGTTTATCTCAGGGTTGATGGCAGGTGACTGGCCAAGTAAAGTAATTGGATGAGTTTATTGCCAATAATTTATCCTGCACATACCTGTGTTTGTACTGAAAAGCCGTTTTTCGGCCATGTTTAATTCTGTTTAGGGAAGGGCTTTACATGTATCGGCCTAAATTTTGTTGGAAGGTGTGTGGATTGCCTCCTCCATTACGAAAGTAGGGAGTTTCTCTCTTACTCAAGATTGTCGTGTGTTCTGTACATACAGTGTGTTGCTGCTGAAAAAAAGAAAAGTACTTGTTTACATGATTGCTGAATGTGGCATTCACACCCTCTGGTGAATTTCCCTGTTTGGAATGTAATCTGTAATTTGCAATCACAATGGGTCCTGGGAATTTAAAACTACTTGTAGGTTAAATTTGTTATCAGAATGTACTAAATCGAGTTTTGTGTTCTGTTGGGCAAAGCTGAAAACCAGTAAGTTCGAGCTCATAAAGCGAGCAGTAAATTGTTCACTCTGAAAAAGCATTTCGTAAGTTAACTATGATGGATGCAGAATAAATCTGACAAGTGTGCAAGAACCTCAGGCATTGCTTGTGACTGCGTTTCTGTAACGAGTTTTAGAATGTCGTTTGTGACCTGCATTCCATAGTTCAAGCCTTTGTATAATTATGGGTCTTCATTGGCATTGTTGACTATATGTATATAAACTTGATTGGGACTTACAACTGAGCGAGCTAAACTGTATTCGTGGACTTAATTAGACGTACAACCTTTCTTGTGAGCGGCTGTCACATCAGCATGTCGATCTTAGCCGTGTCAGGAAAGGACCTCTCATAGGCTGCCTCCGAATCTGTTGCCTAGAGCTAGGTCTGGGTCTTCGCTCCATTGGAAATGTGTGGAGACGTGTAGACAATAGACCTAGCCATAGCTCTGGAGGCCCGTTTCGGACACGGCCTTAATGTCGGGCTGCCTCCGAATCTGTTGCCTAGAGCTAGGTCTGGGTCTTCACTCCATTGAAAGTACGTGGAGACGCGCAGACAAAATACCTAGCCGTAGCTCTGGAAGCCCGTTTTGGACACGGCCTCAGAACTACGTACATATACATGTATATCCTGACTTCAAAACTCAAACTGTGTAGACTGTTCTTCAAAATGTACGCAGATTTGCTTGGGCATGAGTGTCTGCGCCCGTCGGAAGTGCATCATGACTGGTTGGTACGGTATGAATGTGCCAAATACCTTGTCTCATCGCTTTACACCGTCAAGTTTAATAATTAACCCAACAACAAAAGAATGTGCTGTGCATTCAAGTTCAAGGTTCAGGGTCTGGAGGCAACGCCCCGTGTGTACAGAGAACATAGCTAAGCATTTGTAGCAATTACATGCGTTGGATTTGGACATTTGGGTTTTATTTTTCGATTGCTGAAGATTTAGATAAAAACAAGAGTACACATGATATTCACGTTCAAGTTGCGATACAGGGTTCTTCAGTAAGAAAAAGAATGTTATTTGAATCCGACCTATCCCCAGTCTTGCGACTGCGAAGTGACTCGGCGGTTGATGGTTTGCAGCTTGACATTGGAGAGGTATCTGTAGCAAACTGAATGGTAAAGCTTAACACCACCCGTATACATCAGCTCGCTTCTACCAAAGACTCTGTCCCCAACTCGATCCGGAGACGACCATGTCGACCTTGAAGGAGTTGATTCAGAGTCGGACCGAAAGCCTCGAGATCAGCATCTCTACACAGAGAGAAACGTTCTGGTATAAAATCCTCATCGGCTTATTATAAATGTTATGACCATGTACAATGTTTCAGTGGGTCGTCTTTTGGGAAAACAATTAGTGAAGGAAAGTTGAGATTAAGTTGTACACAACTGGCGTATCCAGCTTTTGGTGGTGGTAGTGGTGGGGGGGGGGGAATTCCGAAGCGGCTTCGGGCTTAGTCAACATGAAGTTGGGGAAGGAAAAAGTCAAAAGCCTTCATCACGGTCCAGACATCCTTGCTTCTATTTGCTGGTGTTGTTTTCTTGGGGTTTTGGTGCTAATGTAATAATAAATAGATATAATGATGACCATCCTTCCTACCCACTTAAGAAGAATCATTTGCCAAATAAAAAATAAGAAAATAAAATAAACAATTCCGTCGGGGGGGGTCCCCCGGATACTCCACTGGTTGTGCAAATTCTCAGAGAAAGAAATGACCGTGTTTTTAGACTTTTGTAAACCAAAGTTTCCGTGACCAGAGTATTTGGGGTGAGGTGAGGATGGGGTCAAATAAATTAGTGGTATGTGCCCCAACTCTATCATGTCAATTCATGAAACTGCACCAAAACAAATTCAATTATTGTTTCGTTTCAATTTGTGAATTGTTAAAGTGCCTGCGGGTTTAATGTCAGCTTGGAACATTACTGCTCGCATCCTGGAATGTTTGACCAAGTTAACGTGTTTTTCCCATCAGGGTTCTTTGACAGCTTTGTGACTTATTGTCTGTTGGCGATCATGGCATAAAACAACATCAGAACATTGAACTCCATGCTGGAGGTTTGCTAGGCGGTGCATCGGATGGTTTGTTTTGCAATTATCGCGGCAGAGCGAGAACTCTGACTCCTGGATAATTCAGGTAACACGCAAGATGGAAACAAAAAGGTTCAAGGAATTTATCTGACAGAATCGTATGGTGGCGTACTTCAGCAAAGCCAGACATCAAAAAAGTACTCTTTTCAGTTCCAAAGCCCATTTTGTTATAACTCACAGTGTGGCTCATTCCAAACATTTTGAAAACAAGTCATTTCTTCGACGCTCTCGTAAGATCAGATTTTGGGGAGGGTAAGGTCTAAGGAGCATTCGTCCACACTCTTTAAATATAGCAACAGAAAAGGAGAAAGAAAAGTGAGCGAACAACTGGACAACTTAAATATCATCACGGGAAACAGTGAAAATCACAGTCAAACGTCCAAACTCATTCTGAATGTATCCAACCCGGCATATCACAACGAAACACAACGCGTAACTGAATCTGGCTTGGCTGAAGAGAGCACACCTTTCTTCCCAGGTTACATGGCTTCGGCGGAAAAGATTTTTGATGTTGAAGAATGTGCCCGAGAACTAGCAACCCATTGTCTGGAAACTATTAAAGTCACCACACTCCCACTACAGGCGGACAAGTCTACGACGATGGAACAACTCTACGTCAACCCTCAGTTTCTAAAGGAAACCAACCTGCCACAGCCGGTAACCTCCTCCAGAGAGACACAATCACGGCTGCTACGACACAGGTCCAGGATAAATCCTCCCAAGAACCTGATCTGTATCCAAAAACATGTGGCCGGTCCCAGAAAGGTCCCGGGGCCAGTCGTTCAGGTTTAGGAAAAAGCCCGCACAATACCTAGAATTCCATGACCTGGACTTAATAAGCCGGTCAGGAAACATTCGTGAGCATGTTTCCTCACCAGGATCTGAAACGGAGGAGATCAAGGTTCTTGTCCAAAAGATCCCCCTCAGCTCTTATCGAGAAATGCTGAAGATAGACACAAAACGGATTTTAATCAAGGCTGAGACTGGTTTCGGCAAAACGACACTTCTGCAAAAGATCGTTTATGATTGGGCTGATTTGAAAAGGAAAGCTGAATCCTCTGCTAAAGAAACGGAGCTTGAGTCTGAATCAATTCTGATGAGCTACAAACTCGTCTTTCTACTCGATGTTAATCGTATGGGTCAAAAGTCTGACATTGTTGACGCCATTATTTCACAGATCCTGACGGACCTCAGCTGGAAGTCGAAAGGGGCAATTTAGAAAAAATCATCAGCGATAATCAACGTGACGTTCTCGTTCTTCTGGGTGGGGCGGATGAAATGTATTTACAGAATTTAGAGAGAAAAAAAAACGAAGCGGCAAAATCAACTTGCACGACGTCTTGTCCTACAAAACTCTCAAATCGTGCAAGGTGATTGTGACGAGCAGACAACACGTGGCTAAAAAAATACTCAACATGTATGCGTACTACACCAAAGTAAATGTGGCTGGCTTTGATGAGAAACACAGGGACGAGTATGTCGAGAAGTACATGATAAACTTTGACTCTCAAAAACGAAAGGAGTTTCTAGAGAAAATTAACGAATCCCCAGGGTCTTAGCCTGGTAGAAATACTCGTTTCTCTGGATAATGAGCTACATACGGGTTCCCTTTAGACGAGACATCTGTTCAAAAGAGAGACCCGTTCAAGTTACCAGATCGAATGACAGACCTGTTTCGTGACAACATCAAAGTTCTTTATCAACACAAAATGAGCAAGCAGACTGGTAGCGAGGGCACCTTGCCTTGTGAATCCCAACATTACATTGCGCCTCTTGGTCGGTTGGCTCTCAAAGGTCTACTGGATCAGAAGGGTTTGCAGCCCCGGCCCACTTCCGGAAGAACGAGATCGATGAGGAATACCTGGAGTATTTCAGATGAGGATGTGACGTGGGCTTCTTGTCACGAAGGAAGGCCACAATAGGATTCGATGAAGTGATATACTTCTCATTTCTTCACAAAACATTCCAAGAGTATTGCACTGCTACGCACATGGTGGATTCACTCCCTAAAAACCCAGATCAGTTCAGCAGCAACCTGTCAAAAAATCTTCGGAGTGACGTGGAAAGCGTCGAGTATGCCGACGCTTTTGCTGTGAAATGAACGATCGCGTTGCCAAGAGGATCAGCGAAAAACTTAAGGAGGAATATCAAGCGAGCANCCTGTGAGAGTTATGAGTATTTTTAAAATATTTGTGAAGTATGGGGATTTATCACTGCTGTCTATGGGAAGTAATTTGTAGTGGTGCACCCTGGAGCTAGGTCTGGGTCTTCGCTCCATTGGAAATGTGCGGAGACGTGCAGACAATAGACCTAGCCATAGCTCTGGAGGCCCGTTTCGGACACGGTCTTAATGTCGGGCTAGCTGCATCCGAATCTGTTGCCTAGAGCTAGGTCTAGGTCTTCACTCCATTGAAAGTACGTGGAGACGCGCAGACAATAGACCTAACCGTAGCTCCCTTTTCGGACACGGCCTAAGAACTACATGTACAGTACATACATGTACATGTACATGTATATCTGGACTTCAAAACGCACAAACTGTGTAGACTGTTCTTCAACATGTACGCAGATTTGCTTGGGTATGAGTGTCCACGCCCGTCGGAAGTGTGTCATGACTGGTTGGTACGGTACGAATGTGCCAAATACCTTCTCTCATCGCTTCAAGGTTCAGGGTCTGGAGGCAACGCCCCGTGTGTACCGAGAACATAGCTTAGCATATTTAACAAATTCATTCATTGGATTTTGACATTTGGGTTTTCTTTTTCGACTGCTGAAGATTTAGATAAAAACAATAGTATGCATGATATTCACGTTCAAGTTGCGATACAGGGTTCTTCAGTAAGAAAAGAATGTTATTTGAATCCGACCTATCCCCAGTCTTGCGACTGCAAAGTGACTCAGCGGTTGATGGTTTGCAGCTTGACATTGGAGAGGTATCTGTAGCAAACTGAATGGTAAAGCTTAACACCACCCGTATACATCAGCTCGCTTCTACCAAAGACTCTGTCTGTCAAAAGTGCCTGCGGATTTAGTGTCTGCTTGGAACATTACAGCTCGCATCTTGGAATGTTTGACCAAGTTAACGTGTTTTTCCCATGAAGTTTCTTTGACAGCTTTGTGACTTATTGTCTGTTGGCGATCATGGCATAAAACAAGACCAGAACATTGAACTCCATGCTGGAGGTTTGCTAGGCGGTGCATCAGATGGCAAGTTTTGCAATTATCGAGGCAGAGCGAGAACTCTGACTCCTGGATAATTCAGGTAACACGCAAGATGGAAACAAAAAGGTTCAAGGAATTTATCTGACAGATTCGTCTGGTGGCGTACTTCAGCAAAGTCAGACATCAAAAAGTTACTCTTTTCAGTTCCAAAGCTCATTTTCTTATAACTCACAGTGTGGCTCATTTCCAACATTTTGAGGTTACGTCATATAGCTTAATTGATTATTGGCTGGCAGCCAAGAAGCGCATGCAGATACCTATATCGTCTGTTTTGTGTAATGTTTAAGTGAATTTTATCTCAACACAAAAAATGACCTGAAATGTTGCTGACAGCTACTTGCTATGACGTTGCGAAGCCATAAGGTTGCCTATTATGGCTGGATGCTATATCTGGATTTCACGTGGAAACGCACAAACAGGAATTGGCATGTGTTGATAACGCCGAGGCTCTTGGGAGTTCTCATCACTTTACCGCTTTCCATTGTCGCATTATTGAATTGCGATAGCAACAACAGAACTCAACGTTCTTCATTACAGACGAAACGGAGGGGCCGCTTAACGACCAGTACTTGCAGGTATTGGCTTCGAAGCTAGGGAGGTCGTGGGTTGAACTCGCTACCAGGCTGGGCTTCACATTAGCTGCTGTCGAGCAATTTGAGAAAGACTATGTGGGGGATATGACCAGGCAATCCATGAAAATGCTTGTTGAGTGGCGTCGAAAACAACTGCACACCGAAGAGTTCCCACAGAAATTGGGGGAAGCTTTGAAACAAACGGGAATAGCTGAACTAGCGGCAGCAGTACCAGGTAAGAATAAGAATTGTGACGCGTTGAGGGAAGGCTAATCAATTGAAGGTCACTGGCGTCTATGGCAAGGGGAAAAAGCCCACACAATACCTAGAATTCCATGACCTGGACTTAATAAGCCGGTCTGGAAATATTCGTGAGCATGTTTCCTCACCAGGATCTGAAACTGAGGAGGTTAACGAAAATTAACGAATCCCCAGTGCTTCGTAGCCTGGTAGAAATACCCCTGTTTCTGCGGATAATGAGCTACATATGGGTTCCCTTTAGACGAGACATCTGTTCAAAAGAGAGACCCGTTCAAGTTACCAGATCAACATCAAAGTTCTTTATCAACACAAAATGAGCAAGCAGACTGGTAGCGAGGGCACCTTGCCTTGCGAATCCCAAAATTACATTGCGCCTCTTGGTCGGTTGGCTCTCAAAGGTCTACTGGATCAGAAGGGCTTGCGGCCCCACTTCCGGAAGAACGAGATCGATGAGGAATACCTGGAGTATTTCAGATGAGGATGTGACGTGGGCTTCTTGTCACGAAGGAAGGCCACAATAGGATTCGATGAAGTGATATACTTCTCATTTCTTCGCAAAACATTCCAAGAGTATTGCACTGCTACGCACATGGTGGACTCACTCCCTAAAATCCCAGATCAGTTCAGCAGCGACCTTACAAAGATTCTACAGAGTGACGTGGAAAGCGTTGAGTATGTCCTACGCTTTTGCTGTGAAATGAATGATCGCGTTGCCAAGAGGATCAGCGAAAAACTTAAGGAGGAATATCAAGCGAGCGAATCCTTCCAGAGAATAGTCATGACCCTCCTGTTTGAAGTAAAGTCAAAAGCACCGGTGGAAGAGTTTGTGGATGCAGGAAGAGTCAAATTTCCTCACATTCTCCAAGGTGAAGAACTTCGGGCTGCTCGCTATTTCGTTCAGACATGCTCCCGGCCTGAGAGTATTCCTAAAGAAAAGACTGTGGTGGCTGCATGTCAACACGTGGACGACTTGACTCTGTTGCAAGATTTTTTCAATGCTACAAAGTACAAAGCAGCTCTAACAATCAACGGCATCAGCTGGGAGACCCTTCTTGATGATAACATAGATATTTTCAGGTCTTTGACGTCATTGCATATGTCTTCGTGTGGTTTAGAGGGTGAGCACCTCGATCAACTGTTTGAAATTATATCAGAGAAATACTACGCGATTAATAAATTATTCATAACTAACAACGCTCCATTCAGTATTCCGTCTAAAATAAAACCCGTTGATTCCTTAAAATAAACTCCATTTATGTTAATGTGGTCGGAGAAATAGTGACAATGGGCCACTTTTTAAAGCTCATTTCTGACGCAGGAAGCATAAGGATCGTGAATTTGACAGAGAACAATTTGCAGGAATTACAGCCTGTTCAGATTTCTGAAGTTCCTTCCCTGGACGAGCTACAAGTTGACGAGTGCGCTCTAACAATAAGTGATCTGGACCCCCTGTTCTCTCTTATCTCCGCAGCAGGAAGCGTGAAGGCGGTCGTGTTGCACACAAACAATCTTGAAGGTTTAGAGCGTGAATAGATCACTGCTGTTCCGTCCGTGAGAGACCTGCACGTGTACGGTTTAAAAATCCCCGAAAGAAAACAGTGCAGGAAAATACACAGCAATATAATATGGTAAAGGATTTTTGAGGGGAAAAGATGTTCCTGGTGAATTGGGTTGCAGGGCGGCGCATAAAAATGATTAGGTTATCTTTTGTTAAAAAAAAAATAATAAAATCATGAACACACGTTAAGTGCCGCTCTGTTCAAGTGCGTCACAGGGTGGCGCTCTTTCTACCCAATGTTCATCCAGTCGAATTTCTGTTTAATTTTGCAGGTCCCCACCCCGCACTGTTAGGAAGCATACTTTGCACACACATTTCACGCCATAATTATGGACCGGGTTGGTAGACCATCATGACCATAGACAAGGTACAATGTCGTCAATTGTACCGGAAATTGGGGTGGGGTTGGGGGATGTGGAATTGTGGGAGGCAATTGCTCAGCCACCGGGGAATTTGAAAATGGGAGAATGAGTACATCATTATGACATCATAATAAGGGGCGATTTCATGATACAGATGGAAATCTGTCATAGTTATGATAATCATGCAGATTTTTACACCAGGACGCCATATTCATGGCCTTTTTTATTTTCCCTCTGTAAATGGTATTATACGGAAGCGTATAAGGGCCATTTGCAAAAAAACTCGAGTTTCATAGTGATCACCGCAACGAGATATGTGGTCCTTGTACGCCTCCGTAGTATTGAATACATTTTGTTTGCCGAGTATGAAAACTTCTTGACTCTCACTTTATTTTTTTTTCTCACCAACAGTGGGTGAGAAGGATGATTAAAAAGCCCACTCCCATGACAAAACGGGGGGGGGGGACACGTGCCCGGAACTTTCCCCCACCTCCATGTCCATATTCCCTGGCCATGCACTGGAGACGTACGACTCGGCCGGGACGGCGATGTTCAGTACAATGTGAATAGAGATTATGCGTTGGTGGTGTACCGTCTCGAGTCATGGTGTCTCTGAGGCTGTTTTTAATGTCAATTTAGCTACAATGAATGCACAAAATTTGGTTTAGGCTACTCGCATGATGGTACAACCCTCTTGCCCTCCGAGGACAACCTCGTGCACTGCACGGCATATTGTGGCTCTGTTGAACCATGGAGTTTTATACCTCAATGGTTGAACGTTTCAAGTGTCCCAAGTGCTATTAAATTTTGGTTGTTGAGAAGTTCAATGGCTTGAATGTTTTTTCCCACCACTACTGAGTGACTACGAGTGTTTGTATTTCAGCCCATCCCCCTCAAAAGGTTTAGGGGGGGCAGTGTCTGGCGATGCTTGGCCGGGGGGGGGGAGTGATCACGCACACATATTTCTAGCGCATTTTCCATTGCCTATACCGTGTATCATAATGACTCTATTGGCGTAGGGGTGATTTGCTTCACATGTCACAGTGCTTCTGTGTACTGTAACAATTCAGATAACGCCACAGGCAATGGACACCACAGGCCCTGATGAGCAGGACTTCGCTGTGGGTCGGGTGAGATCATCACGTGGCAATCATGTGATGCTGAACGGCAAGAGTAGGCTATATTATGTACATGTACATAAACTTCATGAATGAGGGTGAACACTGCACAGGCGACAGGAGTCCCGCCAAGAAGTAACACCAGCACAAGCCTTCCATATTGTGGTAAGCAAATGGTAGTTAGGTAGGCAACTGGTAGGTATTCTGGGTCGAAACTTTGCGCCCAGGCTGTGGGCCGAGCCTTACGGGGGAGGGGGCTTCCGCATGTGAGGTACCATTACGCGTTACGGACCGGTGCAGCTGTTTCAAAGCTTCCACTTTCAGCCTAGTCGCAGCCACAGCCCGGACCTTCCAGTGAAAGGTCTTGTTCCCAGATTATACGTCGACTATGCCACGTGTATTACGAGAGCAGCCTGTCATACGGCGTAGCATCTTTGATAAAACCCAGAGGCAGTGGCATCAGTTGTTTATCCTCCCGATCTCTTACTTTTCACTTTGAAAAAATGCAGTTTTGTTGATAAACCACAGATGGATTTGCTTCAGACGTAACGATTGAGGTATTTATTTTGTATTGAGTGTATTTTAGGTCCAAAAAAGTGGTTGTAATGTGGCAGACAAACGTGACAAATCTCACTATGGTTGACAAAGCGCGAGCGGACGGGCGACAGTGGCCATGCAGGGCCTACATCATAGGGTTCGTCGCGCGCTGTGGCCGGTGTTGGGTTCGTCGTACACTCCGCTCTGGGGGCAGCGACTGTCTTGAAAACGAGATTGGGTTTAGCTACACCCGGAACTGCGAGGCACACTCCGTATCCATGGTGTACGCAATTTATATACCTCACAAGTCACAGTTCTGCGAGTAGTGTTAGATACATGTACATTTGTACATAGCTGGGCATGATGGCAATAACGTAAGGCCTACATTTTTGTAGTTAAAAAAGTGTGATCGGTGATCATGCAGGGTGACATCAAGCCAAATTCTAGATTACCTTATACAGTAAATGATTGTTGAATACAGGGGACCAGTTGACCCCTGGAATGACTGCTTACGTGGGTACAAGGTGAAAATCCCTTGA